CCCAACGCGGCATCGGCAGCGCGTTCCAGCGGCTGAACCGTGCTCCGTCCTCAGACGGCAAAGAGTTTGGGGAAGGAAGAACTGCAGAATTGTGGCCTCGCAGATACCAAAAAGATTCTGGCTCAAGATAAGTTTGCTGCAGACTCCCGAGGTGCATATCCACGAGAGAGCTTTGTGTGTGACAAAACTACTGCCTTTCCTTGGGGAATGACTACTTAGTAACTGCAAGGGTGCAAAGCCGAGACTAACTTCAGCTGTCTCTGTAATACAAACCTTAATTAAATTTAAAGCTTTGACAAACTGTTTTCATTTTTTTTTAATGTCCAACTTCATTGTCCCCAAGCTGTGTTTATGCACATGGTCCAGAGAGTTCACCGTGACATGCAGAGGTGAAAAATAGTCACCCTTTCTGCCATATCCTATTGCTGCTGTTTCCTTTTGCCTCATTTTACTCTGACATTTTCAACTTTCTTTTTAATAACTTGTTTATGTGGGAAGTACTGCTGCACCTGCCCTAGACTTTTCCTATAACCTGTAGCCTCTGATCCTTCTGCCTACTTTGTTACTCAGCTAGGAGCTGTGTATTTAGAAGATGAGGGTGTTTAAAGCAGTTAAAGAATTTTTATACAGACTAATTCAGAGGGGATTTAAAGCATTGTTTCATACTGTATTGACTGCTTGGATGTATGCATGAATTTTATGTAATTGACTTGAAGCTGTTTATTGCTTAGACCTTAAACAGTTAAAATCTGTTATTGAGATGTTCTCAGTTCTTTGGCAGCTGTAGATACTTTGCAAATAGAGAAAATATTTATTTTGTTCAATAACTATAACAATGTGAAAGCTTTACCATGACTGGAAAAATTCCTTTCAGTTTATTTGTTAAATTTGTGTATCTAGAAATCCTGAAACTTTAACATTCCTGGAAACGATGAGTCTTGCAGCTTTGCGCTGCTGTTCTAGAAGCCTCCATGTCCTCTGAGAGAAAGGACTTCTTAAATACCCTACATGTGTGTCAACCAGTGCTGTGTTTCCACATATCTGATGGAATCCCGGTTCCTGCTCTCTTGACTTAGGATTCTTGACTATAAAACTGACACTGGAATGGGAAATATTACTTGCTGTTCTCCATATAACCCATAAATTAATCTTGATTCTTGAATATTGTGTGAAGCTATATCACTGAAGGAAACAAATACATGCTTCCTCTTATTTCTCTAAAAAGCTCATGCTTTCTGTTTTCATTTCCAATCAAAACTTAATCACTGTTTGCTTTTTAAGAAGATACCTGATTTACAGCTGCAAAATAACACCAAATATGCATAAAATCCCATGTTTTTCCTAGTATTAGTTGCTCATCTAAATGGCTACTCAAATGGTTTACTGGTTCAGATCATCCTATGGAAAGCTGCCAAGTGTTCCCAAGAATGTGGGAGATCTCATCCTGACGGGTTTTCTCTTAGGCAGCACCCGCCTTCGCAGCTCTCCGTGCGTGTTTCACCGCTGACCGTACTGCAGTTGCATGGTAGGAATTCAGAGGCAAGCGGAGCTCTGATCAGCAGACAAACAATAGTGAGAAACGGAAGGAGTTTAGAGGACCGAGAGCTCCTGCCTTGGAGGGACCAGTCTGCCCTCAGGTCACCTGCGGTGTCCGTAGGGCGAGTGGGGGGTCCCAGCGCCTCGCGGGGCTTCTGGAGCGCACTGGAACGGACTAACAGCCACGGGGCCTTGCTCTGCTCTGGATAGGACCTTCTTCCTTATGGTAGCTTCAGTAAAAGATGAATGAGGCTGTGAAAAAAGAGAAAAAAGGCAGCTGAACTGCTGTCTGCCCGCACACGAAGTGACCGAAGAAGCGGAGACAAGTCTGTTTTTGCAGCGTGCGGCGCTGACGCGGTGCAGCGAGCGGCCTGCCAAGGGCACCTGGGCTTGGGCGCCTGGCGGCACTGCAGAAAGCTCCTCCCGCAGGAGGCTTGTGCTCAGGTGACTGCTGAGAGGAGAAAAGCACTAGTGGGCTAAAAGTTATGCCAAAATGCTTCGTACTGGCTGATTGCTTGCACTGTGTACTACAGCTTCTGATAGAAAAGGTAGCTTTACCCCTGACATGAGGGTGTTTTAAGTAATTCTGATGAAGGCTCTTTTACATTTTAATGTTTCACTGAAGCCAAATATGTCTGTTAGATACGCTAGCTTGTTCTTCTAAATGTTGCTGAAAAACTATGTCTCTTTAGAGCTGAGCATGAGAAACCTGTGAGTACTTCACTAGGTGCAAAATCTGTACACAAATAAATTCGTACATAAATAAAGACCCTGACTTCATGCAGAATTGGGCTCAGTGGCTTCTTAAATTGGTTACTGTGTTCAACTTACCTGACTTGGGAGGGTTTGCAGGCTAAATTAAAGTTAATCCTAAAGTAAATACTTGTGATGAACAGAAGTTGTTCCTAGTTTGCACATTAGCTGAGCGGTCCTCTTTAGTCGTAGGCTGGTTTATTAGGTATTCAGGCAGGGGTTTGTGCCTGCACAGGAAAAATATTATTCTGTAACTTCTTTTGCCTACCGGCTTTCTGTAGCCGTAATTGACTTGTATGAATTAATGCATTTTTTTTTTCTTTAAAGTGTTTAATATTGCACACTGTCATTAACCTGAAATAACTAGAGAGTTTGCTTGTAAACATTATTTTTGTCTGGCCTCAGGTTTATCAGTGTTACTCTCCTGCTTAATTTGCTTCTTTATTGCTTAAGTGTATTTAATTTCCCTAAGTTATTTCAGGACTAAGTGCAAATTAATGAAATTTGGGCTCCTGAGAAAATAAGGAACTCTTCCTTTCCAGAAGAGTAACAACTAGTTCACAAGTGATGTTAAGATCTTTGTTTTTATTAACAGGGAGTTTTAAGTCAAAATACTAAATTACAAAGTAAAGTGTCCCTTCTCATTTGTTAAGGCAGACTTAAATATGGTATAGGAGAAAACTATAGACAACACATGGATACTACAGAAGTTCTTCGGTCCTATAGTAACCTGACTGAAACGGGCTTCCCTCTTTCAAGGCTGCATCCTTGCATTTATAGGATGGGGAAAAGCTGGACAAGCTTTCAGGCAAGCCATATCTTGCCTTCCCTTTTAGCTCCTTTTAGCTCCTGAGCTACCTGGGCTGTAGTAAGCAGTTGTGTAGGCTGAGGACCTTGATCTTCAGTGCTTGAGTGTTGGCCTTAAGCTGAATTCTTCTCTCTTGGGTTGTTCTGCTTTAGCTGAAAGGCTGCTGTGTTCAAACAAGCGGCCCAAAAAGCTCCTGCCTTGAGCACTAAAACTTAAAATACTGGGAATAGGAAAACGGGATCTTTCTCCACTATAGATCTGCAAAAAATAAAAACAAGACAAATATTCTGGCTTTTGTGTGTGGGGAAAAAAAGGCCATCGAGATGGGGCCAGCCTTTGCTTAAGACATGCGTAGCAAACAGCTCTGCTGCTAGGGCTTACCTGACTCCTACTTGTTTTTGTTGCTGTTTGTTTGTTTGTTTTGCTTCTGTTTTTCTCCATAGAAGTGCAGTTTCTGAAATAATGTGTTAACTTTCAGCAAGGGGCTGTTAGAGTTCTAGATCTCCGAAAACCAATTTTACAAGGCTAGCACTTGTTTCTAAAACTGCCAATTGTCTTCATTTTGCTCTGAAAGGTCAAGCAGTGGATGTTCGGAGTGGGGGCTTTGAGATGATGAACAAGAGAAGTAGCAAAAGGTCTCCCCAGATTAGAGCCCGTGTTTCTCCTGGTAAGGGAAAGGCTCCTTCTCAAATGCTACTACTCTTGGAATAGCATTCAAAGGAAGAGAGTCTAATTTCTCTTACTGCTCATTATTCAAATAAAATTCCTATTTGAACTTCAAAACACAGCAATATGAGAAGCTGGAAGGTCTAACTGCATGTCTAAAACTCTTTAAATGTGACCTAAAAACCTAGTCTTAGTTTCTTTCTAGTGCTTTAGATGAACAAAATTTACACCTAGGAGTTATTCTAAGGATTGTTAGTGTCAGTAAGGAGGCAGAAATTATTTTCAGGGCCCCAGAAAAGTGTTTGTATGATATTTTAGCTCTTTCTTGCTATTGCATTGGTAGATTAGATCTGCATCTATCACATGGGGGGAAAACAGTTGCTCAAAAAATTTCCCATCTCTTCAGCATGCTTTGCTGCTGCTGATGTTAATTAATTATTTACAGCTCCATGTCTTAACTGCTTACTGTCTGCAATAGATAGACCTTGGAACAGTGCCTTTAACTTTGGTGGTGCTCAGAGCTGGAGTAAAACAGCATAAGGAAGGACGTTTCGCGGGAGGCCTCACGGTAACTTCGCGTCATTCGCTGAGTGTCGCCGTGGGGGCCAGGGGCCACCGTTCTCGGGCCCCGTGTGGCCAGGGGCACCACTGAGGAGCAGCTGCAGGGCTCCCAGGTCCCTCCGAGGCTGCAGACAGAATTCCCGGAGCTGCGAGCGGCAGTTCAGGCTGTGTTTTGGGAATCGGGAGTACTGAAAATACTCCTGTTTTGTTGCAGCCATAATCCTGGCTGTTTTAATGAGTTTGCTTTACAGATTGCTGTAGAAGTCCTTCCTAAGGACCTGGCTGCTACTGTTGTGATGTCTGTGTGTGCATAAGTCTAAAGGATTTGTTAGGTTAATATAAGATTGCACATCATTTAATTTCAAGGCATGTGCAGATGTATGTCTTGTGAAGCTATTAACTGCAGAGAAAGAGGTAACTTCTACTGGGTTCTGCTGCCGTTTGCGTCTCATACGGAGACATAAGGATTAGTAAAAAAGCAAGACCTTGTTGCTGCTAGTAACCTAACTCTTTAAAGTCTTATTGGGCTTCCCAGCTTAACCTAACTAACTCAAATATTTTGTGACGTTAGTGAGAAATAGAAACCAAAAATAAAATTGCTGACTATGGAGATTGTTAGCAGTGATTTGCTCACTTAGAAAAATATGTGAGTTCATATTTACAACTGTGTGTTCCTGCTTATTAATATAATTCCTGCATATTAATATAATTATATAAATAAAAAAAATCCCAGTACATGGAATTTTGAAAATATAACCAATTTACTTCTGCATTCCCTTTAGGTCCAAGATGGGCCTCTTGGAACACCGGTGTTTTTATTTGCATCAGATGTGCTGGAATACATCGAAATCTTGGAGTCCATATATCAAGGGTCAAATCTGTCAACTTGGATCAGTGGACACCAGAGCAAATACAGGTAAAATATCTTAAAATATGTTTTCAAATTGCAGGGATGTGCTCAGCAATCTGTCTTGGCCAAGGTAGTCAGAGAAAAACGTCTGCTTCTAATTGCTTGATAATTGGAAAGAATAAAATGAAACTTTAAAACTCAAAAAAGAAAAAAAAAGGGTTTGGGGTTAATTGCTTTAAATTGATTTGATCAACTTCTGGAGATGTTAACTAACTTACTCATTTTGCATTTTGGGTGTTCCTCATATCTTAATGATTAACCTGGCCATGCAGTTTTAATAGTCATATGGCATATGTAGTTGAGTAATTATTTAAAAACAGTAGCAGCTTTAATGGCAATATTTTTAAGCACTTTATAGTGCTAACAACCTCATTATTACTATTTCAGTTACAAATGGCTACATCTGAGGTGTTCTTGCTGAACTCATGGGCATGTAATGCATGCAGATTTTCTGCTCTGTTTTATGTTGGGACACTGTCAGGAGCCAGGGAGCATCATGTGAGCTGTCACCTTGTCGGTGTATTTTCTTTGTGCCCCTGTTCCAGTCCAAAATAACAGAAGTTTCATTTTTGTGTTGTGATTACCTGCGAATAATATCTTTTCCTGATGACTGAAGAGTCTTGAGCCATGGAGGAAATGCTGTTACTCTAGTGGATTTATAGATGGTATTTATAGTGTTTGACTAATACGGATTTGATACCCTTTTCTCATCTTGCAAGCTGCATGACAAAATCCATATAGATTTGATGTGCACAATGTATATCTCCAAAATGGAGGGACCAAGAATTTCAGAAGGTAACTCCTACTGGAAGTGAACAGCCCAGTGCACCTTATTACAGGAAAAATATGATGTTTAAGAGCAAGTAATTTGATAACTGATATAGTGAAAATGAAGTGTCGAAACATCTGGCTTCTACCTCCCACGGCAGATTAAAGTGAGCAGTATTTGGTGATGGGTGCCTTAGCACGCAGGCAGTGGCACGATATCAAAGGCACGTGTAATATTCAGCAAGAAACGTGTGACGTGGTGTGTTGGACTCTGGTAAGCCAACAGATCTAGGAGACTGTAAATGTTTGGCTTTCAGACTTCAGCGTAGTCCAAGAATCTCTCTGTGGATGCCAGCACCTTGGAGCAGTGCAAAGATGAGGCTTTGTAACCTGTTGTGGTAATCTCGCTGTCTCGCTTCCGTCAGATTTAGTCACGGGCAGACTGGAAGCCTTCTGATGTGAAAATATATTTAATAGTTCTGTGTGTGAGTCTATAAAACTTGTAAAAAGCTGCTAGAGCACCAGCTTCAGAAGCCTTGTGGCGCCAGCTGGGAGGTTGCTCTGCTTGTCGAGCTGTACACGAGGTGGCTCTGCAAGTCCTTCTGTAGGACAGGACTAAGGGACCTCCTGCTCGGGCACGTGTGTGATCCCTGGTGGGATTCAGGGCAGGTCTGCTCAGGAACTGTCCTAGGGCATGGCCAGAGCCAACAGTTCAGCCATGCACCACAGGGTCGCCTACCTCCTCCTGCTGCTTTTTGGCCTCTGAAGTCTATTTAAACCGTGTAGTACTTTTTCAGTAGAAGCTTCAAGAGGCTGAAGTAGCTGAACAAAGTGGTGACAATGCAGACTTTACGTGGGGAGCCTGGGGCTGGTTCCCGTGTTAAGAGCTCTGGTTCAATAGAGTAACTTTCTGATAAATGTGACGGCTGCTACGTAGAGGTGGAGATTTGAGTTAACCCGTCACTGCTTGAAGAATCAGTTTCCTTGTTCTGAGGGGAGCAGAGCAGGAGCTGATCCTGATTCAAGTTCCCCCAGTTTACTGAGGCTTATGTGAGCTGCAGCTCTTTAATATTACTACCAAATGCCAGGGATCCTGTGAAAGGACTCGTATGTATGGGAATGCCCCAACTTAAATGTTTTGTAGTAGATCATTTCTAGTAGGGGAAAGTAAGGAGGAGTGCACCCATCTGTCTGTTTATTTTTCCACACTTTTGGTGTGTCAGCCGCTGAGTTTTCCAGGGCTGCTCCAGCCTGAAGCCTGCTCCTTGCTTTCGGCCACATCCTCTTGACATCAGTCAATCTGGAATTTTGGGTGCACTGGGGCCTTGTGTCTCCATGAAGTCATGTCCTGAATACAGTGAAAGCTCTTTGCTCTGCGGCTGGGCCTGTGGGGTGTGGGGTCATCTTTACTTTGTTTTTGTAATACCCAGAAGTTGCCTTATAGTCAAAAGTTGCTCTTGGTCAGAGGAGTCCTCCTAAGCTGTATGGCAGTTCTAGATGTTGACGTGATTTCACATAGCAGCTGCCCTACATTTCTCAGTTGGAATAATGATCAGGGCTCCTGTCTTGGACTTGTTAGAGTGTACCTTGACGGAGGACATGTCATCTTTGTCCCAGAAGAAGGAAGATGTTCATGGCATCTTCTTCATAATTTAAGGATGCTGCTTGGGCTGCTTTTCAGGAGTGGAACAGTTCTTTGGCATCGGCGTGTTTGAGCTTCAGGTGGTCATTAACACTTGCAGGGATTTTCCTTCTCATATTTTGAGAATTGGAAGCAGCAGAATTGTTCACCAGTACAGAAAGCAGGTAGGAACGTGGTCTTTTCTGCTCTCTTTGAAACTGTTGAAGCTCTGGATGTGTCAATGCTGAGAGATGCAATTTGTGAGCAGATGAGAGAGGCTGAAACGAGACCAGTTTTTCGCATTCCTCCTGCTCTTGTGCTTATGAGATTTAGTATGTACTCCATAACCCCTGATACTCAAAAGGCCTTTCTTTAAGTATCTGCAGACGCTATTCCTCTTGCAATCTGCACAGCTCTTCCTACCAAGAGATCTTAGAGTTGTGCCACCTCCATCCAAGATCTCACCTGACAAGCCCATGTGAACCCGGAGGTTTGTTGTGTCCGCACCAAGGTTGGAGCAGAAGCTTCCGGCAGTGCTGGGCAGCATCGTGGGGCGCCCCGGGCAGTGCTTCCCCTCGGAGCCGAGCTGCTGCTGGGAGCGCTCCCGCGCACACGGATTTAACGCGCCCTCCAGTGACTGAGGGCAGCTTCAGCTGGCCGGGAGGGTGACTTCGCGTGCAGTTTTCCTGCACGTGCAGGGGTATTTTCAAGGAAAGATTCTTTTGGTGGAGGTGTATTTGAGAGTACCTGGTATTTCATTTATCTTGCGCTCCTTTCCCTCGAATCATGCAGGGTGACTCTGTGTGGAGAAACGGTACTGAATGTGCTCGCTAGCCCCATGACTCGCTCTGAGGAGCATGTGATTTTTGTTTGGCTTCACTTCATGAGATTGAGCAGATTGTAGGCAGCCTTAGTATACTCGCAGACACCTAACATATTATTTATACCTTTTTAATAATCTAGGTACCTTACTTGAACTTGTAGAACTTAAGGTATGGTATATTAGTATGAAACTTCGGGGAGAAATCATCAGTTGTAGCTTATGTGCTAATATATAGAATTAGTTTGAGAAGTAGCAGCTCTTAAATACTGTAATTCCAGGGCATCCAAATTCTTTAACACCTTGTGTCATTTAAGCACATTTCTGGTATTCTGACTCTCTCAGCATTTAAAATACTGATGGTCATGAACTAACTGCTTTTTTTTTTTTCCCCTGTCTTTCCTTAGTGCATGCAGGAAATGGGAAATACCAAGGCCAGATTGCTCTATGAAGCTAATCTACCGGAGAACTTTCGAAGACCTCAAACAGATCAGTATCCTTTTTCGGTGTAGTTCTCATATTTAACTGACTTTGATGTAATTTAAATGTTATGAATGTTTCAAGAAACTGCTGTATTTGGCAAATCATATTATTAATGGTTTCATTGATACAGTTATGTGAGTCCTGGGAAATAACAGTAGAAGTTGGAAATGATTCAGAAAAGTTGTAAATGACTTCAGCTGTAACAAATATACTTCATAATGAGATTTTTGCAAACCCCATTTATTTTTACTATCAAAAGAGATGACTTCATAAATTCGATATGTGTAGGAATTTGGAGTGATAGCAGAGAACCCTTGAATATTCTGTCTTTATCTTGAATAACTGCCAGCTCGAGTTAGAAGCACTTGAACAGGAAATAATGAGCTGAATGTTAGCATAAAATCGGTATTTGGGCCTTATTCAAGTGAAGTAGGGATTTCTGCCTCTTGATGTTGCGTATTCTGTAGTTCCTGGGTGTTAGGTAAGCGTGCTCTATGAGCTGTGCGAGCACAGATGATTAGCATGGAGTGTCTACGTAAACCTAAGATGCCTGGTAGCTGTCGTTTGTGCTGGAGTTTGTGCAATCATTGCCTTGTACCTGGAAAGGGAGGGCTGGAGGACAAACTGTCCTCCGCTGATGAAGGGCCTTCCTCAGGAATTACCTCTTCCATGCATACTCAATCCTGCGAGTCATACATAATGCCATTAATTTAGATATGTATTAGCCCCTGAGTCAGTGACTGTGCTCTGCTGGTGACATTTGGTTCGTGTAATTCTGCTGGACTCTTAACTGCAGGTAGGTGTTTAGGTTCTCACAGTGGAGAGAGCTGCGTCTTTCCCTGGTTCTCATGGTGGTAGAGCCTATAGAGCCTATAAACTGGCTTAGTCACAACGGGATCTAAACTGTCTCCTTCCATATGCAAAAGTGATCCTGGCTCACCTATTTATTGGATAATGTGCTTGGTATGTTACATGTAGGAGATCTTTAGAAATGCCAGGCCATTCCTTATGAAAGGCACTTGAGCAAAACAGTTACGTTTTTTGCTATTTTGGTAGCTTTGAATTCAAAAAAGATAGGCATAAGAACAGGAGTAACAGAGCTGCATTTTTTAGGCCATCATATATAACTTTATTGTAAGCATGTTGGGAAGTTGATCTTTAAGCTGCATATTCTGTACTTGCTGTGGTTAATTTGCATTTACTGTTAATAGTGCAGGAGAAGCAACAAGGCTTTACTTGAAGCTTTTGGTGCCAGATAAGACCAAAAGTCTTGTAAGTTCTCTTACTCAGTAGATCTTATGAATAACTGAGATAATCAACACTTTTGCTGCTTCAGGCTTATTTTAGACTTCCAAAACAATCCTGGTTTTGATACTGTACACCTTCAGATAATTATATAAGCTCTTGAATAGTTCTGTATTTCTAAATGGTAGCTTGATATATTCCTTATGCTTAATGTGTTCTCTTACTACAGGTAGTGCCAGATGACAGGATGCCAGCATTTTCTGCTTTGATTTTCAATTCTCCCTCAACTTTGGCAGCTGCTTAGCTAGCGGTGTCGGTGACACGCTGCTGTCATACAGGCTGTTTTGCCTTTTCCTTTTTGCTTGACCTTAGTTTGGGTCGATGTACAAACACTGTGTCTCTAAGCCGTTCTGATAGTGAAAACTGTCAATATTCTGCATATCCTTCTGGATGAGCTATGAAAACATATAGCTGTGTAGTGATAGCTGTGCATACTGTCCTATATTAATGTTTAATTTCCTGTAGCATTATAATAACGATATTTCTGCTTTTTAGGTAGTAGAATAGAGACAGAGGATCCTCTGCGGGACCTGCCAGCAATCTCCTTAAGGTCTCCTACCTCACTTCTGCTTCTTAATCACAAGAGTGACCTTTCTGGCATTTCTCATTCTTCCATTGCACTTGGCAAGGTGCTCTGGCCTAAAAGCTACCTTTGAGGGCTATCTTGGTGGCCTTGTGTGTCAGCATTAGCTTTCTGAGCCGTGCTTTCTGATTCTCACTCTGTTAGTTTCCTTCTTTTCTTTGAGCTCTGCTTCTGGAATACATAGTTTCCAGAGGGTTTTCCAGATTCCAGGGTAGCCCTGTTTCTTGCAGCAGAGGCTTCAGCCCTACATAAGCCCAGCTGGTAAGCACATGCATTCTTAGGTCTTGCTTGAAGGCTCTCGGATCCTGCTCTTGGTACTTCAGCTGCCTAAGAGTTAATCCCCATCACGGTATGGGTTGTTGCAGTGATTATTTTCCCATGTAGGGGACTTGTGCTTGTCATTCATTCCTTCTGTTTTTTTTCTGTTTTATTTTTTCTAAGCTCAAAATGGATGAGTTGTGTAAGTAAGATAGGTCATATCTCATGTAACAGTTGCATAAACTTATTTGAAGCCAAATGTGATTGCTGAGGATACAATTTGATGTGCAGAGTCAAAGACCTGAGAGTCCCCTGAGCTCAGTGTTAATCTTAAGAGCTAGTATGTGGAAATAAGGTATCCTTCCCTTAATTGAACAAAATTGATATGGGAGTTAGAGTTACAAAGAATCTGAGCTTCCACGGTTGCAATTTTGCTTTTTGGGCAGATAATCTTATTGCAGAACAAATTAGTTTGAAAAATTATTTTACAGATACTAGAGAAACAGCCTTATATGTGGTTTAAGCATTCAAATTGCTTGGGAAGAGCTGCTTTAGGTACTTACAAACAAGCTGAGATAAGAGTTGAAGAAAACACAGCCAGCATCCTTTCTGTGCTTGAGCTAGTGACTCATCGGGTCTCATCTGCTGTGTCAGTATTTCTGCTAAATTTCCACTTTTCCTTCAGTATGTTTTCATTAGCATTGCTTTGGTTTTCTTTCCTTCCCACAGAGATGTTTATTGAATAAGTCATTCGTGAGCATTTTCTGTTGATCTCGGAAAACACTTTATGAACAGCTTTTGATCCATGACATAAGTGTAGCAGAAAACAGCTACATAAATATCATTTTTTTTTCCTGAAAAGATTGTAATCTTTGCAAGATATCATAGCAGGCTGTCCTTTAATTGTTTACTGTAAGTATGTGATATATGTGAGTACCTTTGCAAGTATTTCCAGCACTGCAGCCCTGCTGCTTATAAATACTAAATTAAAATATCCTGTGGAATACTGAAGTACTCGTAGTGTGTATTTCTCATCCTGTTTCATTAACATTCAACTGTGAATCTTTTTTTTTCTGTGATAAACAGAAATCCATTTGGGACAATACAAAAGCAATTGTTTTGTACAGAGAGTTTTATGTTCTGTTGCTTTAAAATTGCAGAATAAAATGGAATGAGCATCTGATGCAATTCTTTAACTAAAAATTGGACAAGTTATTGAGGTTAATGTTGCTGTTTAACTAAATATCTGTTTTCCTTAAACTAGTTTTTTCCAGAGCTGTTGAATTTTTCATCAGGGATAAATATGAAAAGAAGAAGTATTATGATAAAAATGCAATTAATGCCTTCAATGTAAGTAAACCGTTTTACTAATAATTCTTGTTTGCGAGCTATATAAGAGCAGAGAATGTTTGGGTATAATTTTGTAACAGAAGAAGTACTATATTCAGACATATTAAAATTAACTTTATCAGTAGACAACTTTTGGGCACACAGCTAAAAGCTTCTTTCTGGTATCTGTGAAATCTATTTGCAGATTCTGCAAGGTCAGTGAACTGTATATGGGATTTATAGGATCAAAGCACCCAACAAATAGCTTGCTTCAAGCCTTTTACATTGCGGAATTTTGCTTTTTTGGTGATGTTATTTTTTAACAACACACTTGATTACAATTTCTGTCTGAGTATCTTTTCCTGTGGTACAAGAATCAAGTAGCTGTTTCTTGTGACTTTTTCTTCACTCTTGCCTAAGAAAATCTTGAGAAAACTTAAGGTATCTTGAGACCCTCTTGTGAGGGTCTTGTTGCTCCGCTGCCTTCTAGAGTGGTACTTATTGCCTACTGTAGTAGAAAATATGAGCAGTAAGGCAAATTTATAATCAAAGAGCTATATATGTTCACCACAGTAAAAAAAAAAAGGCGTTTTTGGCAAAGCATTTCCAGGAATACTCGTCTTTACTGAAGTTCATGACTACTTGAATTTTTTGATAAAGCTGTTTTTGGCATTTATGATGGAGCTCATATAAATTTTATCTGCATATGTGTATGTATATTTAGACATCTACCCTTCTGTACCAGCAGCATTGAAGAACAGCCTGCCATGTAGCTGCATCACCCGCTCTGAGCAGGCAGTGAACTTTGTCAGGGAGATGAATGCCAGTCTGGGAGGAAGGAGGGAGAATTCATGTGACCTTTGGCAGTGGAGAAAATGGCTCTTTGAACTCTACTGTCCTTTTAGGATAAAGCCAAGCTGGAAGCTTGAGAAGTGCAGTTCAGTCAAGAGTCATATACTTGCACCTTTACCTGTTTCTCTTCAGGTCTGAGGTAGTCACATCTGTTGGGGGGAAATGATATATAACAAAATCCCAAATGCACCCGTGGCCAGATTTACTAGGGCAGTGTGGTTGGGAGGGGGTAACTCCTGCTCGTAATCTCATATCACTCAGTCCAAGGTTTTGGCAGCATCACAGCAGCTTATATCATGATAGTTTTATCAGTTATATTTCTTCAGGTTTGTCTAACAGTGCAACTTTAGTGTATTCTGCCAGTTGGAGCCCTGGAGTCTAAGTTAGGGGTCAGTTTTTGATCCGCTGGTGCTCAGAATTGTTATGTCTTATTTGTTTGGTTGCCAAGTGTTAATGGTGTAAGTGTGTACATTGTTGTAAATAGGAAGCTTGAAATTTTAGAGACACATACTATGATGATAAAATTAGCTAGTGCAAAGGTCTGTAGTGTGACCAAACGTAACGGACTAAAAATAGGCAAATATGGAAATTTTAATGACTTCTTCATGGTTCACTGAAAAGCGATGCGGAATAAAGCTTTGGGCAACAAACAGAAGTATTTTGAGTTACTAGTTGTATTCTAAATAGGATAACACATTTAAATAGGAATCAAGTTACATTAGAAAAAAAATTTAGCATAATCTGAAAGAGGCATGACTTGAGAAATAATTACCTTCACTGTTAAAATACACTTCAGGCTTTTCTAAGCCATTGCTTGTGGGAAAGCACTGGTTCCACGGCGCTTCTCTAGGCTAAATACATGGTATAATGTATTCAGCTGCTGTAACCTGGTTATCAGCAACTCATGTGCCTATTTCATGCCAAGTACTGCACTTCTTTCCTTTCTCCTGTTCTCCTGCCCAGACTTAGTGCAGGTCTGTGACCTGTCTGCAGTGAGACCTGGGAAATAGGCGCTGTTGAACCGTTCCTTGCACTGGGAAGGGTTCTGAAATCAGGGCGAATTGTTAAGCACAAACACAGGCCTTCGCCTGGGGATTAGTGGCCTGGAACACAGCAGGAATTTTTTTTTAGTCAGAATAGAGGTGTCCAGGCTCTGTGTCAGGTTAGAAATCGCCCGACGAGACGTTATCAGACTGATCACACTATGCTCGTTTGGTCTTCTGCTGGCTTTGTGACAAGCAAAAAGCAGGATTCCCCCCAGGATAAGCAATGTACCTTGAAAAAAAGCCAACAAAGCTTGGGGGAAACCCCTCAAAAACGACGCATTTGCTGTATATTCCCACATGGAAAATAAATGTGAAATCAGCCTGGCAATTCAAGGGATAAATTAATGTGGGAGTATTTTTATAAATGCCTTTCTGGTTTTGATTTTTTTTTTTTTAGGTATTAGGAGGAAGTGAAGCCTTTTTCTAACCATTAAATATCCTGAACTATTATGTATATGCATGTTGCTTTGTAATTAAACAGTTGAAAAAAAAGGAAAAATGTATAAAAATGCTCTGATTGAGATAATACTTCCAGATATTTTCAATGAACTGGAATATCAACTTTTTTCTGCCTTTTGATTTTATTTTTTCCCCCTTCAGTTGCCACCAAAGTTGCAGTATTTGACCACCTTTAAGCTTTTTTTCTGACCAATGCAAAGGAAAGGATCTTGCATAAATTAACTTAGCTGGTGGGGCAAACTGGATTTTGCTGCCCCACAAGGAAGTCTTTTCAGGCAGATGGGCTGCATTGGCACTGTAACACGGCATGGATCCTCTGTGTTTGTTCTAATATGTCGGGATTTGGAGGCTCCCTTTCAGTAAGGTCTCTGCATCTTTGGGGTTCTCAATGCATCGGGTACCCGGTACGGCCAGCAAGTATGGAACAAGGTAGTAATTTCTATGAAGTCATAAGGTGCCAAATTGAAATGAAATTGTGTAAACAGGAGTGTCTCTTTCCAAGCTAAGGTATAGTTCAGGATCGCCTGATCCTCAAGAAGAAAGGCCTTTAAGGCAGAGTTGTTTTGTGCTCACAGAAGCTGCAATTTTTCAGTCAGCCCAAAGGATGGAAACTTCTTGGTAACGAGGCACACGTCACTCCCCAGAACTGTTCCCCTTAGGAGCTGCAAATGCCAGGTGCAGCTGCAGGGTCCCGGCATCCCGACTATGCCTGTGCTCGCCACGCGCAGGGAAGCGAATCCTCCCTGTGGGAAGTGGGTTTCGTGGAAGCAGCGCGTCCTGTGACGGGCTTGGCAGGGAGGCTTCTCCAGCCACTGCCCGTTTGGATTTATTTCTCCACAGTAGGACTCACACGGGTATGGAAGATCAGTGCTTTCTTTTTCAGGGCGCAGTTCCCTGCCCTGTTGTGGTGCGACCTCAGCTTGACAAGACTTGTGAAAACCAATTGCTTAAGCCCACAGGTCTCTTGATCTGGCCAACCAGCCTCTAGTTCGGCTTTGATAAGAATTAAAAATTCTGAAACATGCAAGTTTCCTTTTTTTTAGTGCTGTTAACAAATAGGTAAATTTTAAAAGAGTTAAGAAGCAATATGAGTAAGAAACAATTGCAGCTGACCATATAGTATTTGGGAATATATGTGTATTACCTTGAGTGAATGCCACATGTGATCTAAGTACTGTTAACTGTGGGAATGGTCTTTTCCTGTTTGAATATTCATCTTATAGACAGCAGTAGTTGTTGACAAATTGACTTATTTATAGTTCTTTCAATGTAATATTGTCCTCCTCCTAGACTTAATTTTATGCCAAGTCCTTTGACAGTTTTAGGAATAGAAGTGAGCTGTGTAGAATGCAGAGTATAATACAGAATCCATTAAAACAAGCTTCACACAGCAGCAAAAGGATTAGGAGTCTTCATAAACCTGATGCATCCGAGATAAGCTAACATGAGCGATTTCCTGTGGGATATAATGCAGCATCTATTCATCCCTAAAAGCTCTCTGCAGCAGTTAAGTTTCTGTAATTTAGTAGCTCATGTATCAGCCTTGATGGCTGGTGTGAAGTAGTTTTCTAAGCTAAACTCTTCTTCAGGATGGTGCTGATGTGGAGCTGTTTGGAAATAACTGCTTGGAAGTGCTACTTCAGACGTGTGCCTGCTTTCTGCTTTCAAGCAGAGGCAAATCTTTTATTTTCATTTTTTTAAAATGCACATAACAATTCCAGACCTGGAGGGTAAAGCAAGCAAAGCAGTCTCCTAAAACCTCTTTATAGCTCTTAGATAGCTCTTCATGTTTCCCTAGGTCATTATCTCCTGGAGCTCCATTAAAAAAGTACAACCCACAGTTATCCAGATCCGTCTACATGAGAATCCAAGCTTGTATGCTGAAAAGAATGCCTTGACAGACTAACAAAACAGTGCTTTTCCTGGAGCAAATGGGAGCCTTGCTAGAGATCCCAAGAGAATGAAAAATAAACCTATCTTGATATATATTTTCTTAGTTTTTTTTTTCTTTTATGAGACCTACTTTATTCTTGTTGTTAAAGTTCTCACTACTGCAGGCAAGGCTTTCACTAGTTTTAAACCTGCGTATAAAAATAGCAGCTCCACAAATGGAGAAGCTCACCAGGGGCTAGGGTTGGACGGGCTTAACTTATTCCCTCTGTTTTGGAGGGGGTGGAAGAAGAGGCTGTTTTATTTTCTTTCTTTCTATTCTGTTTTAGGCTTTTTACCCTCTATTTCCTTCCCCTCAGGCCCCGGCCCAACTGCAGCAACTCAGTTTGCATTTTTTTTTCCTTTTTCTCCCCTTTTTTGCTTAGGATACACTGGCAGCTTTCTGATGCCCTGGTATTCTTGGTTTGTCGTGACACTTCCCGCTGCTTGGGAAGCCGTGGCTGAAGTCAGGGATGCAGAGCCAGAAAAGCAAACGTTGCGTTGGTAACGTTTCCAGCCTATGGTTTTTATCCCCCCGGTGTATTTGTGCAAATGGGTGGGCAGGTAGAGCTCTCCTTGGCTTTTGGGCTGTGTTCCTTTCCCTAATTCTCATGAGACTTGCCATCTGTATCAGAGAAACAATGTTTGCAGTAGACTTTCTAACACCACTACCAGGTAAGAGAAGTTTAATAAACTGAAGGTTAGATATAATGCAGTTTATTTAATATAACCTGTGGTAGAAAAGCTAAAGAAAATGACAGAGTGTATTTAAGGCTAGTTGTTAATTCTTAAATATTCAAAAGGAACCGCAAATGGTTGCTGCGCAGCATGCTTGAGATCCCGGATGAGCCGCGTTCGCAGGAATGGGCTCAGGAATACCTTGAAACAAGAGCTAGAGGGCAGGCTTGTCCCAGGGAAAAGCCAGCAGGTTCAGGTGCTGCTCGGTCCCTGCTTAGCGGAGGAGGCACCGATTTGGCAAGTCCACTTTTAGGCCTTGTTTCTTTCCTTTGATTTTTCAGCCCACTTTCTCGTGATTCTTTCAGCCAAAGAAGTTAACTGATGCCAGTCCTGCTTCTTGATTTACTATTTCTGTCTAATTGCTGCCTATCCTTTGAGAGGTTTGTCACCCGTATGTGGAATAATGTCTGCAGTGATAATAGTGAGTGGAATTTCCTCCTGGTGAGGGGAAGGCTTAAAAAAAGGTCAGAGCCCTCGGCTTGGTGCTCAGCTTCTAAAGCAGCCGAACAGACCCAACTGAAGAAAAAAAAAAAAAGTACTGTTTCTATGCTTTGAAAAGAGATCCAGAGATTTTCTCTGATTATTTTCATCTTTTTTAACAATTAGACTGTTTCAAGACTATCATTATACCAAACAAGGTTGAATCATGTTCAGGGAAGGCTTGGTTTCACTTCAGGTTGCCCAGAGAGGTTGTGGAGTCTCCTTCTCTGGAGATCTTCCAAACCCGCCTGGATGCCACCCTGTGCCATGTGCTCTAGGTGGCCCTGCTGGAGCAGGGGGGCTGGACTAGATGATCTCTAGAGGTCTCTTCCAACCTCAACCACTCTGTGATTCTGTGAAAACCTGTAAAATGAGTATAGAACAGCCCTCTCGGTTTAGATTACTTCCCTGTGTATTGTGTGCATTTAAATTGGACAGATTCTGGCACCTTTGTGTTTGGATGAGCTGCTTATTTCCTGACTATATTGGCATAGTTTGATAATACATGTTTTTTTAATCTCTTGAATATTCCAACTGGTAGCACTATAAATTTAATATTTAAATGGAAGCTCAACATCAGATTTCTAAAGTTTTAACTTGAACTCCTTTTTTTTTTAGAAAAAAAAAAAGCTAAATAGCAATTGCATTATTTCAAGGAGAGAATTTTGTGGAAAAACTACAGATAAACACTGATAAAACACCTATTTAGCAACTGATTTTAATGGCCATAGATGTTTGTATGATTGTTACCTAACATTATAAATGCATTAATGCAAATGGAGCTAAAGTAATATTCTTAGTTATTTTATGTTGTGTTTGGATAGCTTAATTTCTGCTTCATTTCTGTTGGTGCTTCTTTTAAACTTTTTCCACTCGAAGTGTTAGTTTGGCCCAGTGGTTTTACTGTAGTCTATGCAGCAAGTGCTTTTATCACCGTTAGTAGCAATGATAATACCACTACTATGGAGTACTTCAGATACTTACTTCTTCCATAAAAAACATTACAAAGTACAGGTATACATTATGATGTAAGGGAGAGCAGGGCGTTGGAATAATACTGTAATATTGTAGATCCAGTCTCTCTGATCCTCTGTTCTCCAGACTTTTCAGAGATGCAGGTCAACTCTTGATACTCATGGCCATAAATGGTTTGCTGCAGAGTCTGTTTTTAATCCGGTTTTATGCTCAGGCTTATCCAGCTACTCTGCTTGACTTGACCGGGCTTTTTTCAGCATTCATATTTCCTTATCTAGTGCAGCATGGCAGATAGCATATTTAACATGATGTGGTGGTGGCAAAATGTCCATCAGTCTGAAATCATGCTATTGCTGTCATTATATCAACTCAATCCCTTCTTTATACACTGTAATGGTTTTATTTTTCTCGTAAAGATCTTCATTCATGTGCCTGTTGTGCACTAGCCTAGTTGCACACTAGGGCACGTGAAGTGTGGTGCTCGTGACGCTGCAGGTCACGCCGCGCTGTTGTGTAACTTCAACGTTACCTTGGGACCTTTCCGCACTCGCCCATCCTGGCCAATGTCAGGCCAAACTGCAACTGCTTTTCACTCTATTTCACTGCTTAAAGATTGTATGCTGTTTCTCTAGTCCTCGGTTTGCAAAATTATAGGATTAATCTTTCATAAAGTTTCCTTAATTTAGGTTAGATGATCCCTTGACTTGTATAGATAATACGTAGATTGAGAAGGACCATTATGGAGATGTGATACAAACTATCAGCTTATAGTGCTGATTCCCTGCGTGCCCCCTATGAAATTGCGCTCCTCTTTCTGCGTGGTCAGTAGCTGTTGGCCATTGCTTACCTGTGAGACCTATTGACCTTCAGTTCCTTAAAACCTCAAGGATAAGAAAGAATTAAAGCCCAGAAATCTACTTATCTTTAAAAAACTGAAAGTATATTTAAATTGCTTAGTTATCACAGTCTGCAAAGGAATTTTTTTCATTATCAAAATCTTAGTAACATATTATTAGAGCTTATAGTTTAATATCTGTAGTTACCAATTTTTCTGACATCTTTGGTTGCAGTGTGGTGAAATGAGAATAAGGATCGTTCTGTTCCTATAGCGACAGAATCCTGTGCTATAAGAAACTGCGTTTCATTGCACCAGATGTATCGGTAACTTTTCTAATAACTGGAGAGTTTGAAAACAGTGAGTTTAAAATTGAGATTCTGCTTTTCATGTTCACAGTTTAAATCTGGTTTAAAAACTGACCCTTTCCTGAAACTCTGCACCATCTTCCAGGCAAAGCATGGTTTCTGAGCTTGTGAATGCACTGAATATAAATATTCTATCCATATTCCACATATATAAGCTATGGTACCAATAGGATTTATCTGTAAGAAATATGTTTCATTTAGACACAAGGTAGGGCTTTTCTGTAGCTTTGTTGCCTTTTAATGGAAGCTACTTTTTGTTTTAGAATTAAGTAAAGACATGTCGTCTAAATTGGATATTTTTATCCAACATAATGACCTGCTCTGTAATAGCTTCATTTATATAAAAATTTTCCTTGTAAACAATAGATATGATGCGAGGCAGCATAGAAATGTCAGCATTATAGCTTTGAAGATCTACTGTGTGTTTGGTAAGTGTAATTCAGTTGCATTTTTGTAGTAAAGGCCAAAGAAAGATAATGTTTCCATTAAAGTGATCAACTATGCAGGAACTAGGATAAGAGTGGAAAGGCATTTAGAGGAATCTCGTTTTAGGAGCAGCCTGCCTCCGTTGCCCGTGCACCTTGCACCCTGCGGGTAGTCCTGGCAGGGAGGTGGTGCCGCGGCGGCTTCGCGCGCTGGTTCCTGCAGGACAGGCGGTGCTCGCCCGGGGGGCTGGCACGTCTGGGAGAGCAAAAACCCCCCTCATGCCAGTGCAGGACGCTGCTCCTTTGGTGTGCTCGTAGAGAACAGCTAGGTAGGGCTTCAATTAATGTGTAACTTCCAGCGGTGTTTTGCTTCGCTCTTAATGCAAGTATTTTGTTACAGTGAAAAAGAAGGGAGGCATTCTCTCCTCTCCCCCGCCTCTGGGGACACCGTGCCTTCGTGCTTCAGGACATTAATATTTCACTAGTCACACTGGATAAAATGGAACGATGGATGAAACCTAATTATTTGTCTTATGCCTGTGATATGATCTTATCCAGGTTCATTTTCTTATTTTCTATTCTAGTGAATTTCATTATAAATCACTCATTGTTACAGAAGAGTTTTCATTTAGAAATAGTACTGGTTAAAAAAAAAAAAAAAGAGGAAATACTTCATCCTTTTTTTCCTATATAGCATGAATTTTTAATCTGAATTCTTGAGAAAGCTAAGAAACATGATTTTCATTCTGCCTTTTCTGCTCCTTTTTCACCTATTCTTGCTTATTCTCCTCATTTCTTTCCTCCTTTATGCAGATTTCTTCTTCTGACGCTGCTCAGCCTTTGGCATCCTCTCCCTCTCTGCAAGCTGCTGCCGAGAAGAGCAAAGCAGAGGTACAAGGTTTGCTCATGGTGTAACTCCCATCAGGCTACGTTAGCTTATCCTTAGTAGAACCTGAGGCCTCTAAAATGCTTCTGTCCCCCCACACCTCGAGGTGCATAACGAAGAAACTGATCCAGTGGGATAAACCCTCCACCCATGTGGCTGCCATGTGTTGATGTCTTTTTGTTGAAGTTCTGACCCTACATGGCTGTAGTGTCGGAGTACCATGCCAGAACACCTTCTCCTCATTCCCAGCTGATGGGCATGAGTGATTTTGTCCTGTCCTCTCAGGTGTTGTTGTCAATATCTTTCTGTATTTATTGCTTGTTTCAGAATTTAGTCAGGACTATTCCAGCCATGCATTTTGATCTCTTTTGATATAAATATAGAATTAAGTTGATGGCACATTTGTTAACTCATACTGGTTTAGTATCCTTTCTAGTTGGCAAAAATGTGTATGTGTGCATACATATATATATATAATATATATATTCTGTGTGTGTATATATAGAGTGTATATATATATACACATATAAACTGAAAGTGCATTTAATGTTTAGAAGGGCCTATGAAAAATTAATTACAAATGAGGTAAGGCAGCGTTCATATGAAGCTTTCAGTAAATGTCAGGCTTCCTAATGGTAATTGAAATGGATCTTTTAAACATGAGTGCTTGGTGTTAGGGGTTGTTTTTGGACTCTCTAATCTGAGACTGCATACAGCATGTAAAATAACTTACGATGTAAACACAAATCATGTCCTTTTTCTTCTGTTTACCATAAAATGCAGCCAGATGTTAGAAGTTATTTTAGTTGCACTATATTTAAATAATAATTACAATCCCAATTAGTCACATGGACTAGGCTGCAGCCTTGGTAAATCTAACCTCTTGCGCACTGTCGGTTCCTGACTCTCTTGATTCATTCAAATCTGGAAGCTTTTCTATGTAATTCTTTTGCCGTGTTATTGTCTGTAAAGGAATCTTCAGATAAAATGAGAAGTTTTCTTCACAGGCTGCAAGATAATACAGTTTAATTTTAGCATCCCGTCAATTAAACTTCTGAAATCTCATTTGGTCTGTATGCAGCCTATGTAAGTTTATCTGTTTGTTTTTACATGGACTTGATAGAGAGCATCAATGTATTTTTTGTTTTCGTTTTGATTTGTTTTTTCTACATGGAGTTGCTATATGGAAGTATTCTATAATATGAAGTAATTTACTTAGTTTAGCGTAGGCCATACAGTACACTGATCTTGTGAACATAAACACAGTTTTTTGCATATATAAATAGCCCAGTTGAGATCACTGGACTATTATTATGTTTAAAGTAGAGTGCATATACTTCAGAGTATACTCTAGAGGAGTATGTGTATTCTGAGTATATACTCTGCATATACCTGGAAGGTGAGATGCGGATGTGCAGAGTTAAACTCCAGAAGTTTGAGACAGCGTTTGCATGTTCAGGGGAACTTCACTTGCTGCTTCAGCCTCTGAAGGCATTTGGATGGTGTGTAGAGTGAAGAAAAAAGAGATCATTCATTGAGGGTAATGGAAATGTGTGCCCTAATCTTGTACACAAAATGATTTTGCAGTTTATCGTCGAATAAATATAAAAGTAACAGAAGAGTGAACGTCAAGATAAATTACGTTTTTGCTTTGTTTTGTTTTTTCCTAAATCTGTTATCTTTAGCAAAGGTAGAGAAACTTGAGTGAGTACATCTTTCATCTCTATATAAATACTCCTCTGTTTATCTGCATCTGACTATGTAGAAGAATGCTTTAGTTGAGAGAAATAAAAATGGATTACTCTGTTGTGAGATGCATGGAGCAGCATATTTTTTCTCCTTTTTTCTTGTTGCAAGCAAAATGGCTTAATGCAAGTAAAACATACTAACTGGTGAACTTTCAGCTGATATTTTTCCATTTAAAGATAATCTAGCTACATAAATGACAAGAATTCAGGTCCTGCTATAAAATGAAATTCTCCCTTAACTTTGCATTTTCAGACCAACTTATCCAATAACACATTAAAGGCGAAGGTATAAGATCAAATATTTGCATTATTTTGTATGTGTTTAAGTATAATTTAATTTTATGTTGCAAGTGTAGCAACTTCAGTATTACAGCTTTTCAGTATGTAAGAGTATTGAAAATGAAATCAAGTTGTCTTGCTTTTGTTGACTTTTTGAAAGGTAGGTGAGGATTTATTTCTGCTAATGATATTCATAAAGAACTCATGTAAAACCTGAGTGTAGGATTGAATGGCAAGGGCTGCAGCCCTGCAGCTGCCATCCAGATAGGGAAGCCTGCAGTCATCTTTTTGGCTTGGAAGAGAAACCAGTGCCATGTAAGCTGTGCATTTTTCGAGTTGCAGAGGAACTAATTCATAGTACAAATAGTTTTTCCTTAGCAGTCTGTTTCAATTGATGCACAGCCAGCCACTTGACCAGACCTTTATTTGTGTTATTAATGAGCATTCAGATTGGGAATGTGTAATACTTCTGCAGCATTTGCAACCCAAAAATGCTTCCTCCCTGGGGTAACAGAAGTGCTAGCACCCGTGCGAGCTGCTTTGCTTTATGCTCCTCTGGGAGGTTCTGGGGCCTTCATTTCTAGGTTCTGAAGGAAGCTACTCAGACAGTGTAAAGGGAATCTTCACAAATATCCAGCTCTTAGATGCTGTGCATATCTTCCAGTTTCCTAGACTTGGAGCTCTGAACCAAGCTCCCAGCAACAAGTATTTTTATATTTGAGCTTGTTAATTTGAACTCTTTCCATCACCCTCCCTCCAGTTTAGGGATTTGGATGAGAATGCCAATTCCTGAATATCTTACTTTACATAGTATTAAATTGGTTGGTTAAATAGTGTACTAGCTTTTAAGGAGGAATTGTTTTTCCGCCTTGCTGTGGGAATAGTTTTTGTTGTGCGTTTTCAGTTTCATTTGCATGTGTGCAAGTGCTCAATACTAAATCCTATATATTGTGTGAACTAAACTTTTCTGCTCAGCAAAGTGTTCTTATTTTGAAAGCTAAGAATATCTCTGGGATATTAAGTCTACACCATATTAACCACAAACACTGTCATTCTCAGTTGTGGTGCGTGCTTGAAGGTCTAATGTTGACAGATGCACACTAGTTCTGTGTGTTTCTCTCTACTGAAGCACTCGTTGAAGTGTTATGGATGGATGAAGAATGACTGGAATTTAATGAACTGAGAAGACTGGTTTCTTGTGCTCTGCGTCAAAGAATCCCTTAACCTTTTGTGGGAGGGTGAGAGGAGATAAATCACTTTCCTGCTTTACTTGAAGTGAACGTGCTAGCCTTTAAGCAAGCTGCTCTCAGTGGAATCACGAGGTTGTTGCTTGTCACACTTGCTACCCCTTGGTGACAAACAAAGGCACCACGTGAGCTCCCTGGCTTTCCCCAAGCACTGGTGGCACCCAGAGTTGTTTTGGTGGCTGCATCGGCACGTGCCCGGTCCCACGTGTGTGCTGGTGGTGGCTTAAGGTTAGTAACTGCTGTCTGGCACCTTATTCACCAAGATGTGTTGAGTAACGCTGGTTCTGGGCAGGCTCTGGGGTGCAGGCTTCCGAGGGGACGGCTTCCTGGAGGATATATGTACCCCTCTGCACTATATGTGTACAGTGCGTACGGGGCTATACATCGAGTCCTTTCACGAGAGAAGTCGCTTTTGTTGCTTTCTCTTGCATTTGTTCCTTTTTAGTTTTGGGGTACTGGTCTTGGGGTACCTTATCTAGATTTTTTCTGCTTAGCTTGATAGTGCCTTTTTGTAGGACACATTTAGTTTTTTATCTCCTCTGCTTTCTTTTGCAAAAAGTTAACTCAGACGTTGAACAAAATTATTTCTAAGACAGACATCTGACACTTCCCCTTAGGTAGATCTGGTGGCTAGCAGCTCCTCCTTCTGCTCATGTAGCGCGTCTGGTAGACTGGTGTCAGAGCCATGTGCATACAATTCTGTATTTCGGGGACAAGGTGTCCCTTACATGACTGAGCTATGCCAAGAATCCATTACCTTGTAGGTTCTGGCAGTGGGGAAGTTCCCTGAGATGGCACTGCAGTGCTTAGTAGACTTTTTTCCTTGCTGTTTGTCCTCGGACCTGGACCAGGACTTGAGTGATGATATCAAGTCTAACCTCATTCAGTCATTTCTTTAGGCTGAATTTTATAGCTCCTTTTGTGTATGTTGGATATCACTTCCAGCAGGGAGCAGAAGTACGCAGTGGTTAAAAGTAGTGACTTTTCTACTGTGATGTTAATCTCAGTACTTTCAGTAAACATGTTTGGAAACCAAAAATTACCTGCAGTTGTGAATAATAAATGATACTTAAGTTTCTTTAAAAAAGAAAAAAGGTTGGGAGGAGACACCTTTCATGGTAGTGTTAGAGCTGTTTTAACCAAAATGCCACCTGTTACACAGAGGGACAATGATGTTTACGTGAGGTGTGAGAAGAATCCTCATTGACAGAAATCTGTAGGCTGGTGAAGTGCTCTTCATTTTTTCTATTAGAGCTGCACAGCCACTTGTATAACTCATCTCATTGTTTGCAGACTTCTTAAAAATAGTTGTTTGTGGAAGAAGGTTGTTCACAAGGTTTGAACAGAGTAAGCCAAGCCTGCTGCCTACAAGAACCTTTAGGAGCTGCTGCCCCGTTGCTTCTCTTACCAAGGGCAAATTCTTGTTCCTTGCTGAACACCACTTGCTTCACTCGGAATGCAGAACCCAGTCCAAATGTTTAGCAAATATGTCGATTTGTTTGCAATCAGTGTTACCCGATGGAGCTTCTCTTATTCCTTCTCCAAACATCGGTCTCCTGTATTGCTCTTTTTACTCCTGGAGTAGTTTGTAAACGTGAGTAACGCTTTGCAGGAGGTTGTGTGAACGTTTGGTATGTGGAGCACCAAAGGCTGGCTTGAACTTCTTGGTTTTGCACAAGAACTGTCCTGCCGTCTCTTCGGGGTTAGTTCGAAACCTTCCCAGTTACCTCATTAGCTCTTTGGTCACAGTGACTGGAGTCAGCGCTGTGAGGGTGCTCCTAGGAGCGGGGAGTTGAGCTGAACACATGGCAGTTTCTGTAAAATTTGATATTGTAGTGGCTCCTCTTCCCTGATATTGTCTGATTGCCGCTCAGCTCACGTAAGCATCTAAATAGGCTATAGCAAGAAGTTCCACAACTTAATTATATCGTGTGTAGAAAATAGTCTCCTCCTGTTGTGAACTTAATTTGAAGCTTATTTTGCAGTGCTTTCATTTGATTATTCCTTGTTCTTATACTGGAAGATAGCAAGAAATCCCTCATTACTCTCTCAGTGCCTTTTCAGATGCTAAATCTATAATACCACATTTCAGCTGCCTTTTTGCATCTGAGCTGAAGTCAGAGTTTATATAGCTGCTTCTCACAGGAAATCATTCTGTGTCTTGAAAAGTCTTGGTACTTTGAACATTTTCCAGATTCCAGGAGAATTATTAGCAAAATCTCCATGCTTATATCTTTTGAACATTGTTCCCAGATTCTGAAACAACCATTTAGCACAGATTCTGTTTCGATTTCTGCAAAGATGAATAATGCGGTGGGTGTAATTCTGAGCTGTGAGTGTCTCTGGTATAGGCAGGTGGCACGTGGTCCTGGGCCCTTCGCTCCTTGCCAGGACTTTGCTCCTGTCATGGAGAAACCAGGGAAAGCCAAGTGAGCGGATAGCAGTAAAGGCAAAATTTGCCTGGAAGGATTTCTCTAGAAGGTAATCTAGAACAGATAAGCGTTATGGAAGAAATAAGCTTTAGTAAACTAGTACATTTTTGCAAATAGTCTTTTCCAAACTTTTTTTTTTCTTTTCTTTTCTGGACTGTTATGGATATGTTCTTCTCAGATCTGCTTAGCTTAAAAAGACCAACATCATATCTTTTCTTTCCTTCTGTTTATAAACAAAATTGCAATTGAAAAAGTGAAAGGATATTATTTTTCTTCTGAAATCTCAAAGTTACAGTATTTGTAGTAGTATTATATGAGCACAATGAGTCCTTTTTGCAATGATCAGAAAGTTAAATTCAGGGTTCGTGTCTGACTGAAGAATTGCATTTATATTCCATATGATTGTGAGTATTAAATATATTTGCAAAAGCATTGTTATTGATTACTAACTGATACTACTGATACTTTTTTTTTCAGAAGGAAAAAGAAAAAAAGAAAGAAGAGAAAAAGAGAGAGAGAGAAGCAGAAAAACCATCAAAACAGCTAGCTGTTGAAAAGGTAAGAACAGTCTACTTTTGTTCAGTTATTACAAAATTGCATCTAGTATGAGACCGGGTACTGTCAGGATTTGAAAGAAAAATAAAAAAGAAACTTAAAGTTTACATATATGTATCTCTGAATAATAATCCAGGTAGCCTGCATCAGCGGTTCATTGCGCTTACATACATTGACCATACGATGAAGGATTTTTTCCTAATGTGAGAGAAGAAGGAAATGAGTCTAATGAGTTCACATTTGTGAAGATGTAAGCTCAAATAATTACTATTTTTAAAGATGTACCATTGTTATCTTCTTTTTAAAAGGCATTTATTTCCTACACAGTGAATAGTACATGTGAACCTGTACTAAAAGCCTAGTCTCAAGCAGCGGCGCACAGAAGCATCTGAAATTATGGATTTTCCATCCCAGTGTAGTGTGCCGGCAGGTAACAGGGATGGAGTAATGGTCGGGAGTATCGGTGGCTAGTGATGCCAAAGCATCATTGATTGAGCAACATTCTGAGTGTCTGTGCTCAAGTGTCTATGCTCGAATACCAGTGATTGAGTAGCTCGAGTATCAGTGATTGCGCTGTGATGCTGGAGCATCGATCTGCATAGTAGTGCTTAAAGTAGCGGTCTTGGGATGAGTTCTAAAGAGGATTTTTAGCCAAACCCGTTAAACTTTGCATGTGTTAATCCCAGTCACCTTCTAGAATCAAAAGGAAAGATGCATAGATCTTGAATGCTTTTATTTCCCTTGAAAAATACCAGTGGGGACATGGAAAGTCTGTTTTTATGGATGCAGGATTATATATTGCTACCTCTGTGGTATTATTCTGCTTCAGGGAGCTGTTCAAAGACATTAATATTATTCTTTGGCTGATAATGACAGACTTGATGTCCAGTTAGAGACTGGCCATAGGATATCTTTAAGTTTTGCATATTGTGTCAGGAAGGGAATATTAGCATCTCTGGTGATAGTGGCATATTTTCAGTGACTATGTTAAGAGGCAGGTGTCTCTTTAGTCAAGTTCTGAACCTTCTGGAGAAGGAAGCAATTTAAAAACATCCGGGCTGTGTCATATGTGCAGTACCTGGTTTCATGGGCACGGATCACCTTCATGCTGCACAGTGTATTTCCAGCAGAGACCTTTCAGGCTTGGGGTTTCCATCATTTCAACATGTGTGGCCAAGCGGCTGGCAGCTCGGTAGGAATTTTGAGGCCTGTCTTGAGAGAGGTAGTTTAAGGAGTATTTTAGCCATCGTGTAGGAGAATCAATAAAGATTCAAAATAAACAGATTCTAAGCTTGTCAAAAGTTAAAACAGAAACTACAGAAAACTTCCCAACAGATCTCCTTATAAGAAGTCATATACTGCTGAGAGTCTTAAATTATTAGTGTTTTCCATTCTGTGACTTACAATGACTTCAAGTTTGTTTGCTCTTGAAAAAAGAATGTACTTCCTAAAAGATAATGGTGGCCTTAATTCCCATCAACAGGTCTCTGCATCACATAACCTACTAGTCTGCTCCTGCATCTGTAAAAAAAAAAAAAAAACCTTTCAGTACTAATCGGTCATCTTTAGCCTTTGACAAGCTGAATGCAGGCTCTATTTCTTCACACAATCACAGAATTTTTGAGGTTGGAAGGCACCTCTAGAGATCATCTAGTCCAACCCCCCTGCTCCAGCAGGATCACCCAGAGCACGTGGCACAGGGTGGCATCCAGGCGGGTTTGAAGATCTCCAGAGAAGGAGACTCCACAACCTCTCTGGGCAGCCTGTTCCAGGGCTCTGTCACCCTCACAGCAGATAAGTTCTTCCTCACATGGAGGTGGAACTTCCTGTGTTTCAACTTACACCTGTTACCCCTTGTCCTGTCACTGGCCGCCATGGAGAAGAGCCTGGCCCCATCCTCCCCACATTCACCCCTCAGATACTTGAACATGTTGATCAAATCTCCTCTTAGTCTTCTATTCCCCAGACTAAACAGGCCCAGCTTGCTTAGTCTTTCCTCGTATGACAAATGCTCCAGTCCCTTAATCATCTTTGTTGCTCTACACTGGACCCTCTCTAGAAGCTCCACGTCCCTCTTGTACTGGGGAGCCCAGAACTGCACCCGGTACTCCAGGTGCGGCCTTACCAGAACTGAGTTGAGGGGCAGGATCCCCTCCCTTGACCTGCTGATAATGCTCCTCCTGATGCAGGCCAGGATCCCATTGGCCTTCTTGGCCACGAGGGCACATTGCTGACTCATGGTTAACCTGTTGTCAACCAGGAAATGGTTGACAGTTGGCAATGGTTGACACTTCTGCATTTTCAAATTTTGCTGGAAACTTACTAACCTTAATTCAATAAAATGTCTTCTCCCAATATTGCATTAACTTTTAAGCGCACTTATGGTATAAAAGGTACTTTGCTGGTGAATGTGCTCTGAGTAAAAAGGACAGAAATTCACCTTTGAACCGATTTTGCCTGGGTGGGCTTTCTGATTGAAATTGCTGTTCCACTGAATAATCATGACTTCTTTTAAAGCAATTTTGTAGGCAACCATTTTTATCAGACTTCTGGTTGAAGATGGTTTCCAGTACAGGGTAGAATTTCCCCAAAGCCAGAGAGGAAGCTGCAGCAGAGCAGCCAGCAGCGGTGATACCTGCTAGGACTCAATTTTTCCAGGCTCTTCTACTTTCGGTAACAAAATTACTGGGTAATTTCTATCATAACGAGATCTTCCTGTGTCAGTTACAGATTGATGCTAGCCCGGTGGTCAGTGTTTTCTTGGGAGTAGCCAGCAGTGCAATGTTCCAAATTAGATCTGCAGAATTAAAGAGAAATAGCATTATCACCAAGCTACTGGCAGTTGTAGAGCTTTTTATTTTTATTGTTTTGAATCTAATGAGCAAACTTGCAGAAATCTGATTAGGAGATAGTAGTGTTTCCGAATGCACTTACTCCTGTGTTTCTCATACTTCCTGGAGCCAGGGCTGGGGGCCTGATGGGTTTTCCCTGTTGGTGCTGGGCTAGTTGCCCTCCCTCTGCGCAGGGCCTCGTGTGATGCAGAAGTGCTGCACACGTGTGGGCTGAGCATCTCTGTTGATAAACGGTTCTTATACAGCAAGCTTGGTAACCGTCCAGTAAATCTACGTGTAAGGCTTAGTGGGGTCGCTAATATTTCATAACTTTGCAAAGGTAACCGAACACAAATATAGACTACAGAGAGCTACTGTCAACATATTTCCATTTTTTCCAGGAAAACTATGTAATAATTGGAATGCTCTGTGTTCAGCATACATAAAATCATACATTGAGCTATCATGGCAGGCAACTAGAATCTTTATATTTAGTTTTAGAATTTCTAATAGAAAAATTCTAATATAATATCATCTACCAGCATTCAGGTTTATGTATTACATTAAACAGCAGGAACGTGGACTTCTGGGGGCAGGAAGGGGAGATGGGGGAGGGATGTGATAGTTACATTTCATGAGAGATTTACAGCCTTCATTAGCTAAGTATTTTACAAAGGTTTTGGAGATTCTCTTTACTAGAAGAGATAAAATATAGTAGCGCATTTCAGGAAGATGAAAATAAAAGATGGGTGAACTGGAGTCCATTTTAGACTTTAAGCAGCATTGACTCTAAGAGGGCATCTTCCAAAAATGAATCATCTTAGTTTGCATTGAATTTTTACTTGCATATTGTAAATTAGTGATTGAAAGCTGGATATGGAGTAACACAGAAAACGTTTGTATGCAGATTTGAATGGGAAGTTGAAAGGCTGCAGTTATGGACAATCTGTGCTGTTGGAGCAAGTGGATTGTCTGTTTTTTAAGATTCTCACCTCATATATATATATATGCATACATATTTCTAAATAAAATAGGGAGTTAATCCTTCTGTTTAAGGATGGACAGTGGAATAGAATATAAGGAATAAAGCTCTTGAATTCCTGATCCTCCTACAAATAGACAAAAGGTTACTGAAAAGATAAAAGTAGACATACTTGACACATTACCCTCCCAATATTCAGCAACTCACATTTCCAGAGTCTTGCTAGGCAGTCTCCTGGCATTCGGCTCAGGGTCTTCTGTAAATGTCTTTTCTTGACCTGACAGGGACCAACTTTTACCATTTCCAGCACTCCAACACCTCTCTTCCAGGTAATGCCCTTGTCTCCACAATTCCAGACCTAAAGTTTTCTTAGTCCTTACTTAAGAATAACCTAACGTACACAGTTACGTAGAGAATATGTTGCAGGGTACCTGCTGGAAACGCGAAGCAACAGCTCTTCATGATGCGAAAGCTGGGGGCAGATTTAGCTGAGATGTCCAGTCAAAACCAGGCTAGTTTACAAGCAACAGAAATACCAGCTTTGGAAAGATTCAAATGCAAGTAGAAATACACCATCAGAGGTAATCAGATGTATGAAAGCGAGATTAGTACTTCTTTAGGACAAGAAAGTCTTGAGGGCAGGAGACTCTCTTGTAAGGAAAACAATTTTAGATTTTCTCTGCACAAAATTCAAGGAGATTAAATGAGCTTTTTAATAAAGTGTTTGTTACTTATTGAAATAGACTGTTTCTGTAGTAGAGAAGGAAGCAGATCTGTAACTTGACCACTAACTTGCTCTTTTTTTTTTTTAGCTTACAGGTGTTTACAAAAGCTGTATTTTTAACAGCTGGTCTTCAGCTTTCACTCTCACTGTTTCATCCTTTCTTGTTCCTTTGCATACTTGAAGTTGGTCAAAGCTTTCCCTAGTCAGCCGTGATTGCATCCCCTTTGTTTTCCTTCCCTGCCTGAGCTGGCTGAACCAGTTTTTCTTTCACACAAAAGTCCTTTTTATTTCTAGCACATAGACTGAAAGATTTTTTTCATCCTCAAGTAATAGAATATGCTCAGTTTACAGTCAGTGTGATGGCAGTAACAAAAGTAGATAGTCTACATATTCTAAGACAAGACATTTAAATGATATAGCTCAAAGTATTCCTAAGGAATAATCTCACCTTGTTTTGAATAATAGG